TGGGTGACAGAGTGAGAATCCATCTCAAAAAAAAGAAAATAAATAATAAATAATAAAAATACAAATACGAAAAATTAGCCAGGCGTGGTGGTGCATGCCTGTAGTTCCAGCTACTCAGGAGACTGAGGCAGAAGAATTGTTTGAACCTGGGAGATGGAGGTTGCAGTGAGCCAAGATTCGAGATCTTGCCACTGTACTCCAGTCTGAGTGACAAGAGCAAAACTCTGTCTCCAGAAAACAAACAACAACAAAAAAGATACAGTGTACAGTGTGGTAGGGAGCATAGATGAGGAAGACAGGAAAGACTGGGGACAGGGACACTAGACAGAGGTCTCCCGAAAAATTAGTGCCCATAGCAGGTGTTTGGTAGACAGGTCTCAGCCCTCAGATAAACCCATTTCCAAAGATGAAGGCTAGAGAATGAGAATAATGACTTATGGTTCTGGATGGGCATGGTGGCTCATGCCTGTAATCCCAGCGCTTTGGAAGGCATGGCCGGCAGATCACCTGAGGTCAGGAGTTCAAGACCAACCTGGCCAACATGGCGAAACTTGGTCTCTACTAAAACTACAAAAATTAGCCAGGCATGGTGGTAGGCACCTGTAATCCCAGCTACTCAGAAGGCTGAGGTAGAAGAATCACTTGAACCCGGGAGGTGGAGGTTGCAGTGAGCCGAGATCGCACCACTGCATTCCAGCCTGGGTGACAGAATGAGACTGTCTCAGGGAAAAAAAAAAAAAAAAAAAAGGCTTGTGGTTCTGCACTTTAGGTACCATGTTGGTCAGGCTGGTCTCGAAATACTCACATCTGTGAGTAAGAAGAGGTTGTAACGATGTTCACTGTGGCGTTGTTTCTAAGGGTGAGATGTGAGAACAACGGAAATATCCAACAACAGGAAATAGATTAAAAGGAGATATATTCAGTCTATGGGATATTACAGCCACCTAAAGAATGAAGGTGATGTCACCAGGTATGATAAAAAAAATGTGAGTTCCAGGACACGTTTTACGGTTTGCTACCATTTATGAAAACAAAGCTACATAAATGTATATGACACTAGTGTACATAAAAATATAAAAGGCTATAGTCCAAAATTATATTGTGATTATCTCTAGGGATGAGAGTAGGAAGAGAGTAAAAGGGGATTTTTACTTTTGACTCTCTATAGCTCTGTACTGTTTTTGACAGTTTAAAATGAAAATTTATTCCTCCTGGTGCAATGGCTCACACCTGTAATTCTAACACTTTGGGAGACTGAGGCGGGCAGATCACTTGAGCTCAGGAATTTGAAACCAGCCTGGCCAGCATGGCAAAACCCCATCTCTACAAATAATAATAATAATAATACCAAAAATAGCCGGGTGTGGTGTTGCACGCCTGTAGTCCCAGCTACTCTGGAGGCTGACATGGGAGGATCACTTAAGCCTGGGAGGCGGAGGTTGCAGTAAGCTGAGATCATGCCACTGCATTCCAGTGTGGGCAACAGAGCAAAAGCCTGTCTCAAAAAAAAAAAAAAGTAGTTCTATATAAAAAGATTTGGTGAGTGCAGGTCACGTCTGAATAGCACTTTGGAAGCCAAGCGGGCAGATCACGAGGTCAGAGTTCACGACCAGCTGGCCCATAGTGAAACATTTTTAAAAAATAAAAAATTAGCAGCTGGGTGGCACTTGCTGATGTAATCCAGCTATCGGAGGCTCAGGCAGGAGAATGCATTGGAACTTGAAGCGAGGTTGCAGTGAGTAAAGATTGCCATTGGCATCTCAGCTCACTAGGCGACAAGCAGACTCCATTAAAAAAACAAACAAAAAAAAGACCTCATGCCAGTGCAGTGACTCATCTGTAATCCTACACTTTGGGAAGCCGAGGTGGGTGGATCAACCTAAGGTCAGAAGTCGAGACAGTTCCAACATGGTGAAACCCCGTCTCTACTAAAAAATACAAAAAATTGAGCTGGGTGGGTGGGTGGGTACCTGTATCCCAGCTACTGGGAGGCTGAGGCAGGAGAACCACACTTGAACCTCAGGAAGCGGAGGTTGCAGTGAGCCATGATCATGCCACTGCACTCCAGCCTGGGCAACAAGATTGAAACTCCATCTCAAAAAAAAAAAAAAAGAAGAAGGCAAGAATCACATAAAAACGAGGCTCAGAAAATTTCACAGTTGAAAATCTCTGGAATGTTCTGGTTCAAGCCCCCCGAACCTCAGGAGCACAATACAGGGCAAAAGGAAGAAACTTCACTAAGACATAGGAAGGTGCCGAACAGAAGCAAACAAATTAAACCCCCAACTTCTAATACACTTGAACTGAAGCTGGGCATGGTGGCTTATACCTGTAATCCCAGCACTTTGGGAATCCATAAGGCAGGAGGACAACTTGACCTAGGAGTTTGAGACTAGCTTGAGTAACATAGAGAGACTCTACCTCTATACACAAAAATCATTAGCCAGGAAGGGTGGTGTACACCTGTGATCCCAGCTACTTGGGGGGTTGAGGCAGGAGGATCACTTGAACCTAGGAGTTTGAGGCTGAAGTGAGCTATGACTGCACCACTGTATTCCAGCTTGGGCAACAGAGCAAGACCCTATCAAAAACAAAAAAAATGCTCCATTTAAAAAAATTATTAGATTCAGGCTGGGTGCAGTGGTTCATGCCTGTAATCCCAGCACTTTGGGAGGCTGAGGCGAGCAGATCACAAGGTCAAGAGATCACGACCATCCTGGCCAACATGGTCTCTACTAAAAATACAAAAATTAGCTGGGCGTGGTGGCGCATGCCTGTAATCCCAGCTACTTGGGAGGCTGAGGTAGGAGAATCACTTGAACCCGGATGGCAGAGGTTGCAGTGAGCCAAGATTGCACCACTGCACTTCAGCCTGGTGACAGAGAGACTCCATATAAAAAAAAAAATAAAAATAAAAATACTAGATTCAAGGGACATTGTCGAGCTGCTATAAAAGTTTCCAAGTGCTTATTCTCAATTTCTGTCCTTATTAGAGACAGGACAAGAGGACATTCTCGGAACAGAACCCAGGATACAGACTGAACTTTTGAGTTGCTCTGCGCCACAGGGCACTGCTATTCCACTATACTATGTTCACCTGTTACACGGGCTCCCTCGAGAGACTGAGTCCCACACACATCTGGCTCATTATTGAACACTCTGGCTCAGTCCACAAAGCATGCTTCAATGACTCCATGGACTAAAGGAATGTTCAAGTTAATGTCTCTGGCCACAGCTGCTAAGAGAGGTTACTCACCATTTGGAACCAGGAGGAGGCTTTTCACAATGCTTCTGAGGGAGCCGAGACTGATACGATTGGTGGTGGCAAATTCAGAGAGCTGAGCCAGAAACCTTTCCACCTGCAGTGAGGGAACAGTGAAAACCTGGGCCTTCACTTTTTAAGCATCTCAGGGACCACGGACCCACTCTTCCTAACATGGAATGTTCTATTTACCTCTTTTGGCTCAGTTAGGAAGTGGAAAAGCACCTCTGTCAGGGCTGAGAACTGCTGTGAAGGAAACAACACAGAATATCAGTACAATTTCTACTGCTGGGTCAGCATGCCCCACCCCAGGCAACTGCAGAGACTTGAGAGGGAAGAACAGTAACAGCCAGGTGTTATGCCTGTTCTGATCATCCTAGTTACGAATGTTCACAATCCCACCACCGTGTCAATATACGTGTGTCACTACATCATCTGAAAAACACGTTTATTGGGATACTTGGGAAACATGTATTGAGAGACTGTGAGCATACGCACTCAGAAGCACACATATATCTCTAGGACACAGACACACACAGACAGACATACACACACACATGCACAAAGGGAAAATCACCAGAAAATTAAAAGCGGTTACCACTTTGGATGATTTTTGTTTTCTTCTGTTTTACCTATCGATATTTTCTTTTTTCTTTTTTTTTTTTTTTTGTTTCCCTGAGATAGGGTCTCTCTGTTGCCCAGGTTGGAATGCAGTGATGCAATCTCGGCTCACTGCAACCTCTGCCTCCTGGGCTCAAGCGATCCTCCCACCTCAGCCTCCAGAGTAGCTGGGACTACAGGCATATGCCACCACACCTGGCTAATTACTTTTTTTAATGTAAAGACAGGATCTCACTTTGTTGCCCAGGATTGTCTCAACTCCTGGGCTCAAGCAATCTACCCACCTGAGCCTCCCAAAGTGCTGGAATTACAGGCATAAGCCATGCACCTGGCCTCATATTTTCTTGGGTTCCCCCTACCCATAAACATCTCATTACTTGTGTAAGACAACAATAAATTGTAACACTTTATTATGCACCTAGAACAGACTCTTACAGTTTTGTGTGTCTTAATCTTTTCTCTTTACTGGTACTGTGCTGTTAGGAACTGAATGTTTGTGTCTTCCCCAAATTCATATATTGAAGCCCTAACTTCTGTTGTGACAATATTTGAAGACAGGGCCTTTTAGATGATAACGATTAAATGAGGTCATAGAGACCATCACCCCATAGGGCTGGGGGCCCTTATTTTGATTTTATTTTATTTTTTAGATAGAGTCTCACTCTGTTGCCCAGGCTGGAGTGCAGTGGTGTGATGTCGGCTCACTGCAACCTCCACCTCCCGAGTTCAAGCAATTCTCCTGCCTCAGCCTCCCGAGCAGCTGGGACTACAGGTGCCTGCCACCACACCTAGATAATTTTTGTACTTTTAGTAGAGACAGGTTTCACCATATTGGCCAGGCTGGTCTCGAACTCCTCACCTCAAGTGATCCACCTGCCTCGTCCCCGCAAAGTGCTGGGATTATAGGCATGACCCACTGTGCCCAGCCTAGGGCTGGGGCCTTACAAGAGGAAGAGGCCAGGTGCAGTGGCTCACGCCTGTAATCCCAGCATTTTGGGAGGCCAAGATGGGAGGATTGCTTGAGGCTGTGAGTTTGAGATCTGCCTGGGCAACATAGCAAGACCCCATCTCTTTTCTTTCCTTTTTTTTTTTTGAGACAGAGTCTTGCTCTGTCGCCCATGCTGGAGTGCAGTGGCACAATCTTGGCTCACTGCAAGCTCCGCCTACCGGGTTCACACCATTCTCCTGCCTCAGCCTCCCAAGTAGCTGGGACTACAGGCACCTGCCACCTCGCCCGGCTAATTTTTCGTATTTTTAGTAGAGAGGGGGTTTCACCATGTTAGGCAGGATGGTCTCGATCTCCCGACCTCCTGATCCGCCCGCCTCGGCCTTCCAAAGTGCTGGGATTACAGGCATGAGCCACTACGCCCGCCCAAAGACCCCATCTCTTAAAAAAAAAGAAAAAAAAAAGGAAGGAGACAGCTATCTACAAGCCAGGAATCACACTGGCTGGCACTTGATCTTGTACTTCCGCACAAGCGAAACTGTTAGAAATAAATGTCTGGGCTGGGTATAGTGGCTCATGCCTGTAATCCTAGCACTTTGGGAGGCTGAAGCAAGCAGATCACAAGGTCAGGAGTTTGAGACCAGCCTGGACAGCATGGTGAAGCCCCATCTCTACTAAGGAAAACCAAAACAAACAAAAAAAATTAGCTGGATGTGGTGGTGTGTACCTGTAATCCCAGCTACTCGGGAGGCTGTGGCAGGAAAATCACTTGAACCCAGGAGGCAGAGGTTGCAGTGAGCCATGATCATGCCACTGCACACCAGCCTGGATGACAGATCGCGACTCCGTCTCAAAAAAAAAAAAAAAAAAAAAAAAAAGAAAGAAAAGAAAAGAAAAGAAAGTCTGTTGTTGGAGCCAACCAGTCTATGGTATTTTGCCTTAACAAAATACCAGCTGCCCAGGTATTTTGTTATGGCAGCCTGAGCTGACTGAGACACAGATCATTACTTTCTCATGTCCCTGTGAACAGTGTGTATGGGCTGGGCATGGTGGCTCACGCATGTAATCCCAGCACTTTGAGAGGCCGAGGTGGGTGGATCATTTGAGGTCAGGAGTTCAAGACCAGCCTGGCCAAAATGTAAAACCCCGTCTCTATTAAGAATACAAAAATTAGCTAGTCATGGTAGTGCGCACCTGTAATCCCAGCTACTCGGGAGGCTGAGGCAGAAGAATTGCTTGAACCTGGGAGGCGTAGGCCGCAGTGAGCTGAGATCGTGCCATTGCACTCCAGCCTGGGTGACAGAGCGAGACTCCGTTTCAAACAACAACAATAAACCCAGTGTGTATGGCTTTCCCCAGTGGGGAAAACCTGGATGCCAGGGTTTAAAAGACCCAGTTGAATCAGTGTTCTCCATTGACTACTCTTGTGAATTTGGTCAAGTCATTTAGCCTCTGTGTCCCAGTCCTCATGAGGAAAACAAAGGTAGTAATACACAGCTTCCAATACTAACAGTGACACATGCAGAGCCTCTAGCACAGAGCCAGGCTGGAAGCTAAACAAATGATAGCTACAATTAGAGTCATAATTAGAGTCACTATACCATTTGATCCACCTTCTAGAAGCAATATATAAAAAAAGAAAAAGATTACAGGCAGATACTTCAGCTTAAAACCCCCAAAGTTGTATGTGTAGTATGTTAAATGCACCTATCCCTTCTGCTGTGACACATTAAACTCTACACATCTGTCAGGGCTCTGCATTATTTTATTCGAAAATGTATTCTATTTTAAAAGAAAATGAAACTGGGTGTGGTGGCTCATGCCCACAATCCCAGCACTCTGGGAGGCCAAGGTGAGAGGATCACTTGAGGCCAAGAGTTTGAGAACAGCTTGGGCAATATAGCGAGAACCTGTCTGCACAAAAAAATTTAAAAATTAGCCAGACAAGGTGGCATGCTCCTGTAGTCCTAGCTACTCAGGAGGCTGAGGCAGGAGGATTGCTCGAGCCCGGGAGTTCCTAGCTGCAGTGAGTTATGCTCATACCACTGAACTCCAGCCTGGGTGACAGAACAACATCCTAGTTCAAAAAATAAAAATAAAAAATAAAGTAGCCAGGTGTGGTGGTATGCACCTGCAGTTCTAGCTACTCTGGAGGCTAAGGTGGAAGGATTGCTTGAGCCCAGGAGCTGGAGGCTGCAGCGAACTATGATTGCGCCACTACAATCCAGCCTGAGCGACAGTGCAAGAATGTGTTATTGATCCCTCATCCCTATCTCTCCCTTCCCAAACCCTCCTTATCCTCCAAAGCCCTGCCAAGAAACCATGACACTCCCAACAAGAAAGGGAGCTACCCAGATTCTCAACTTCTGAGGTTGCTCTCTAAAAACTCACCTGGGGCCACCTAGAATTTTCAACCCTGATAAGGAACACAAACATGTCTTAGAAGAGAAGGTTCCTTATACGGCATTGCAGCTTCACAGTAACTTAAATATTGTAACTGCACAGTAAGTATTTGCTGAATAAATCTTTCCTAAACACTCCCCCCATGCTTTGCCTTTGCAATTGTATAGGTGCCTCCCTCTGGAATGCTCACCCACCCATGACTATCTATGCATGCGTCTCAAAATCTTAAGGATTCTCCCCAGTAAACTTAGGAAGAGATGCACAAGGTCATTCCAGATTAGAGAAATGCAAATCAGTAAAACCAGAAGATACTATTTTTCACTTATCAGATCTGCAAACCCAAAAGTTTGACTAGGACACCAGTGCTGGTGAAAGTACAAGAAAGCAGACAGGCTCCTGCATGACTGATGAAAGGATACACTGGGGTGACCTTTCTAGAGGGCAATTTCGCAACGTGCATCTAAGTTGCATTTTTTTGAGGCAGAGTGTGGCTCTGTCACCCAGACTGGAGTACAGTGGCGCAATCATGGCTCACTGGAGCCTCCAACCTCTTGGGCTGAAAGCAATCCTCCCACCTCAGTCTCCTGAGTAGCTGAGATTACAGGCACATGCCACCACATCCACCCTGGGCTAACTTTTTTATATTTTGTAGAGACAGGGTCTCACAATGTTGTCCCAGCTCATCGGGAGCTCCTGAACTCAAGCAATCCTCCTGCCTCACCCTCCCTAAGAACTGGGATTATAGGTATGACCAACCACAGCCAACCGGCATCTAATTTTTAAATGATTATACCCCTGGACCTAGTAATTCCATTCCATAAAGTATATCCTTCAGGTATGTTCCAAAACGTAAATGTTTTGGCAAGTCACAGTGGCTCATGCCTGTAATGCCAACACTTTGGGAGGCTGAGGCAGGAGGATCGCTTGAGCGCAGGAGACAAGCATTATGTTCAGGCAACATAGTGAGAGCTCATCTCTACAAATCATAATGCATTTAAATTAAAAAAGAAAAAAGAAGGCCAGACGCAGTGGCTCACGCCTGTAATCCCAGCACTCTGTGACACCAAGGCGGGCGGGTCACCTGAGGTCAGGAGTTTGAGACCAGCCTGGCCAACACGGTGAAACTCC